CAACCGAAAAAAAGTATTACTTAATATGATGCCTAGCACCTATTTGCTACTTTTCCGTCGTTTAAAAAAAGTATTATATATAACAGGGTATCTTCAAGCTGTAAATTCCTCTGCTTCCAGCCTACGCCGAAAATCTAAATTATAAGGATGACGATGATGACCTGATTCAGACAAATGATGCAAGGAAGACTCAGTCTCAACTTCGTGAGTTCTGAACCGAGCGGTGATAGCCATTAGTGTCTGTCCGATAGTCCCATTTGGAAATAGGGCTAGACGCTGGAGTTCATCGTCCATCTCAATCTTGCATTCTAAAAATTAGTGAAAGGCCTTTAAGTGTGTTGTAGCCCTTGCTTCATCCTTCTCCTTTTACTTACTCTCACAATCCAACTCTCCAAAATTGACTCCATGATGCTTTTCTGATGAAAAGCTCGATCCAAGAGAATTAATCGGGCATTTAACTTCATCATTTTTCTCTTCTGAATGAAGGCCCAGAAGATCATTCTGGGCACATGAGTCTGTCGAGTTTGAACTGCAGGCCCCTATAGCCTGTACAGGCTTCCAGATGGTTGATGGCTGGTTTGAAAGCTGTGCATTATGGGTTAAATCTTGGCTACTATGTCCATGTTCCAATCTGACTTGGCTTGAAGCTGATCGGCAAGGTATAGGTTGATAATCAGGGCTAGCAGGTGGTGCATAGTGAGAGCTCATGGCATCGGCTTGAAAATCAGAGATAAGAAAGCGACTGTGCAGGGGAAGAACAGGTATAAAAAGGAAGATAAAAGGTATGTATCTTTTTAGACAAAAGCTTTAAAATTCTTTTATATGGTTGGCTCCATAATGCCAAATGGACTAAGATACATATCCAATATAAGTATATAAAACAATTCAAGTTTTTAGGGTAAGAGCTAAGATAAAATTTGATTGAAAAATAACCCCTGAGAACACGAAATAAGTGGTAGGGAATTCACAAGAGATTAGACGTCAGCAGTTGGTAAGAGACAAATAAAATCCTATATATTCTTGCATAAGATTAAACATTAATAGAGAATGTCAAATTTATTAGGCTTATTTGTTTAACATTAACCTTAAGCCATAGTAAATACCTTTAAATAAGGTTTGTGGTGGCTACTCTGGCAAAGGTACAAGAGCTTTAAAACTCATATGAACTTTCCACTTTCTAGGATTAAACAATAAATTTTCCCCCCTTTAATAATAATCGGCTTATTTTACCACTTGTGATAGTATTTTATCGTGTTGCTCGAGATCTCCAAAAGATTTTGGCAGAAGCGAAATAGGGGTTTCGGCTAAAATTTTTGAAATAATAACAATGATGAAAGTGAAATCAATCATTCTTCGCCTCAAGT